CAGTGGTGCAATCTCGGCTCACTGCAACCTCTGCCTCCTGGGTTCAAGCAATTCTCCTGCCTCAGCCTCCTGAGTAGCTGGGACTAATTTTTGTATTTTTAGTAGAGACGGGGTTTCACCACGTTGGCCAGGATGGTCTCGATCTATTGACCTCATGATCCGCCTGCCTCGGCCTCCCAAAGTGCTGGGATTACAGGCGTGAGCCACCACGCCCGACAACATAATTTTCTTTTTTTTAGAGCTAGGATCTCTCTTTGTTGGCCAGGCTGGTCTCAGGCTCCTGGCCACAAGCAATCCTCCCATCTCAGTCTCCCAAAATGCTTGAATTACAGGCACGAGCCACTGCACCCAGCTGTTTTTTGAAACAGGGTCTTGCTATAGCACGCAGGCTGGAGCATATTGGGATGAACATAGCTCACTGCCGCTTGCAAGTGATGGACTCAAGCTTCCTGAGTAGCTGGGACTACAGGTGTGCACCACCACACCTGGCTCTGAGATTTTTCTTCAGAGGAGCTAGCTGGTTAAATAACTAAATCTCAATATAAATGTCAAAAAGAAAGTAAGAATCAAAATTCTCGGGAAAGAACTTTAAAGGCGGATATTTCTTTTTGCATCAGGATTCGTGTCCCTGAAGTAACTCACTAGAATTATGCAGTGCAGCTCCAGTGCATACAGCATCATCCACAGAGGTGGATGTCGTGGCCAGTGAGCTTCTTCCCCAGGTGGGTAGTTGACAAAATTCCTCCAGCAGTGATAATACTCTAAGGAAACACAAATCTTGGCTCATTCAACAAGCAGAATGGTCAATTACTTAAAAAGGGCCCCAGCCTAGTTTACCATATAGAAAGCCTCTAGTCTCTGGTCTAGTTGCTGCGGGACATTAGGCTCCCTAAAAAGAATAAAGTAGTTCATTTAAAGATGGCTGAGAGGCAAGGCCAGAGAAAAGAGTTGTTGTTGGTCCTGGTGGTGGGGGGGGGTGGTTGTTTTTTGAAACAGAGTCTCGCTCTGTCACCTAGGCCAGCGTGCAGCAAGTCCAAACATAGCTCACTGCAGCCTTGAACGTCTGAGCTCAGGAGATCTTCCCACCTCAGCCTCCCAAGCAGGTTGGACTACAAGTCCATGCCACCATGCCTTCTGATTTTTTAATTTTTGTGTAGAGATGGGGCTGATCTTGAACCCCTGGCTTCAAGTGATCCTCCCGCCCTGGCCTCCCAGAGTGCTGGGATTACAGGCACGAGCCACCAGGCATAGCCAGGAGTTGTATTTTTGTTATTTTCCTTGTTCTGAATTTCAGATCTAATCCATTCACACATTATTTTGGACTTTTGGACTTTTACTTCTGAGATTTCCACCCTGGGATAACCAGTCTTCTGGCCTGAAAAACAGCTACTTTCTTTTTCTTTTTTTTTTTTTTTTTTTGAGATGGAGTTTCGCTCTTGTTACCCAGGCTGGAGTGCAATGGCGCGATCTCGGCTCACCGCAACCTCCGCCTCCCGGGTTCAGGCAATTCTCCTGCCTCAGCCTCCCGAGTAGCTGGGATTACAGGCACGCGCCACCATGCCCAGCTAATTTTTGTATTTTTAGTAGAGACGGGGTTTCACCATGTTGACCAGGATGGTCTCGATCTGTTGACCTCGTGATCCACCCGCCTCGGCCTCCCAAAGTGCTGGGATTACAGGCATGAGCCACCACGCCCAGCGAAAAACAGCTACTGTCACTACCGTCTCTTATAAACAATGAAGTTTCTCTGTTTACTGTTTTTACCTGATGCTCTCATAATCTGAATAGTGACTCCACTGTTAACGAGGTCCCTGAGTCCTTGCCGGTTTTGTTGATCCATGTGCTGAAAAAGCCTCGCTACATAAATCACCAAAGTCACACCAGGGTGCTGACTCAGAAACTCTTTTATAGCCTGGGAGCATTCCCAGCAGGGACTCCAGGACAGGAACCAGGTGATGGAGCAGCTGATGGACGAGTGAAAACATCTTTCTGACGTAAATTTTTCTATAAAATTAACTTCCACATGATTGGTGGTGTTTTTGCCTGAACTTCTCCAGATCTTCCAGCTCATGCCCCACTTGATTTCGTAGAGCAGACAGGTCTCTTTACAAAGTTCTTTGGGGTCATAGGAGATGTAAAATTCCCATGGTTCAATTCTTCTCCTGAAATATGAAAAGTAGCCCACACTGTTATGTCATATTTAGAGAGATCTTAGAAATCTTTTTCTGTTCCTTCTTCTTTTTTTTTTTTTTCAGATGGAGTCTCACACTGTTGCCCAGGCTGGAGTGCAGTGGCATGACCTTGGCTTCCTACAACCTCCACCTCCAGGGTTCAAGCAGTTCTCTGCTTCAGCCTCCGGAGTAGCTGGGATTACAGGCACCTGCCACCACCACGCGTGACTAATTCTTTGTGTTTTTAGTAGAGACAGGCTTCCACCACGTTGGCCAGGCGGGTCTCAAACTCCTGACCTCGTGACTTGCCCACCTCAGCCTCCCAAAGTGCTGAGATGACAGGCGTGAGCCACCGCGCCTGGCCCCTGCTCCCCTCTTCTATCAGGCTAATCTGAGATGTAGCATCTCGGGAAACTTCCTTTTCTAGTCTGTCTCAGTGTTATCTGAAGAGGTCTGTTTGAATTATATATATATTTTTTTTGTCACAAACATAGTGCACAGGTTTCTTCCCCAGTCACGTGATTTGGTGACCACTCTCTACTACCATTATGTTTTAGTCTTGAATTCAGGTGTAAGTGTGTCTTTGTTTCTCGTTTAACATTTCCTTCATTATATTCTAATCTTACGTATTTATTTATGTTTATGTTTATTTATTTATTTTGAGACAGGGTCTCCCTAAGCTGGCCAGGCTGGTCTCACCTCCTGGGCTCCTGAGTAGCCGAGACTGCAGGTGTGCCCCACCACGCCTAGATATATTCTAATTTTTCAATTTCACACCTAGAGGTGCCATGTTCCAGTACTTATCTTTCCTAGCCCTCAGCGGACTGGAACCAGATTTTCTCAGGTGTTGAAGCCTCAAATTGCCAACAAGATTCTATTGTCAAGAACAGACAAAAAAATAAATAAATAAAAATAAAAATAAAAAAAGAACAGACAAAAGACTAATTTAGCCTCGAGATTCTTCCACATTAAGATCTATAAGAAAGAAAGTCTAAGCCGGGCGTGGTGGCTCACGCCTGAAATCCCAGCGCTTTGGGAGGCCGAGGCAGGCGGATCACAAGGTCAAGAGATTGAGACCATCCTGGTTAACATGGTGAAACCCCGTCTCTACTAAAAATGCAAAAATTAGCTGGGCGCGGTGGTGCGCGCCTGTAGTCCCAGCTACTCAGCAGGCTGAGGCAGGGGAATTGCCTGAACCCGGGAGGTGGAGGTTGCAGGGAGCCAAGATTGCACCACTGCACTCCAGCCTGGCGCCTGGGAACACAGTGAAACTCTGTCTCAAAAAAAAAAAAAAAAAAAAAAAAAAAAGAAGAAGAAATTCTAATTGCTCTCAGTGATATCTTTAGATTTAACACTCTATATCTGAAAGCCGTGACTCAAGGGAAACTCAGAATTGAGCTGCAGACTTTTCTTTGCAGTATGGTTAAGTCACGAGCCTATTACATCCTACTAGTTCCCACTCATCCCTAAAGTGTCACATTCGTTTATTACATAGACCCATCCTTCCACCTATCATGAGATAGTATTCCTTGGCATGACCTTCCTGTTATATGTCTGAAAAATGGGCAGGCAGTATAAAGTGAAGATGAAGTTAAAGTGACAAATGAGTTTCCCAGGTATTTCACTAATGGCTATAAAAGCACACGATTGAAAAAGAGAAGAGAGGCCGGGCGCGGTGGCTCACGCCTGTAATCCCAGCACTTTGGGAGGCCGAGGCGGGTAGATCACGAGGTCAAGAGATCGAGACCATCCTGGTCAACACGGTGAAACCCCGTCTCTACTAAAAATACAAAAAATCAGCTGGGCATGGTGGCGCACGCCTGTAATCCCAGCTACTCAGGAGAATTGCCTGAACCCAGGAGGCGGAGGTTGCAGTGAGCCGAGATCGCGCCATTGCACTCCAGCCTGGGTAACAAGAGCGAAACTCCGCCTCAAAAAATGAAAAAAAAAAAAAAAAAGAGAAGAGAAATTGCAAGACAATAACAGACAAGCAAGCTAGAGTCATTTATTTAAAGAGATCAAAAGACATAAGAGCAAAGATATTTAAAAAATCATAGAAAATGGCATTGGAAAAGGCAAAAATGCAAGAATGGGGAAATGACAAAACAGAAAAGGAATAATAAAGGAAGCTATACCCATAGTTCCTTTTTTTTTTTTTTTTTTCCCCGAGACAGGGTCTTAGTCTGTCAGCCCGGCTGGAGTGCAGTGGTGCAATCACAGTTCACTGCAGGCTTGACCTCCTGAGCTCAAGAGAGTCTCCCACTCCTGCCTCAGCCTCCTGAGTGGCTGGGACTAGAGGCACATGTACCACCATGCACAGCTCTTAAATACCCATTTATCCTTGATTGAATTAAATGAGTACTGTGATAGTATTATTCTTACCTCAGAGTGGGATCACCACTGGAAGGACCTGTTGACCAAAACATGATTATGTCAAATAACACTCAAACACCAAATGAGCTGCTCAGAAAAAGTGCTCTGTCATTCCAAACCTGCAAATCATCTCAGAAAATGGAACTTGACGATTCTCTCATAGATTAAGTGTATTGGACCAATTCATTGTAACCAAGAAAAGCAAGATTTTTAAGGGCTCTGTCAAAATCGATTTTCCCAGATGCCCAATCTTAAACAAGGTAATCCTCCCTCAGGCGTCAACAAAAATGATTAAGTGCAATGGGAAAGTCACTTCGTAAAGGCTCTTAGAAGCCGGACATGATGGCTCAGGCCTGTAATCCTAGCACTTTTAGAGGCTGAGGCAGGTGGATTACCTGAGGTCAGAAGTTTGAGACCAGCCTGGCCAACCTGTTAAAACTCATCTCTACTAAAAATACAAAAATTAGCCAGGTGTGGTCACAGTCACCTATAATCCCAGCTACTTGGGAGACTGAAGCAGGAGAATTGCTTGAACCCAGGGGGCAGATGTTGAGTGAGCCAAGATCTTGCCATTGCACTCCAGCCTGGGCAAAAGAGCGAAACCCTATCTCAAAAAAGTAAATAAATAAAAATAAAGGTTCCTAGGTGTAACCTCTATGTGACCTCGTAGTACCCTGCACTGCACCGTGGTCATTATCATGCTCTACCATGATTGCCTATTTACATGCCTTAATAACACTGAATTGTAAATTACGTGAGATACGGATTTTGTGCATTTTGTTCCAAACCCTGTCACACTGCCTGAAACATGTTATTAGCAATAGATTTGAATACATTACTGAATAAATGATTAAATGAACTTCACTACTACTCACTATGAACATATTTTCCCCTTCTTCTTTTCTTCCTTCCTTCCTTCTTTTTTCTTCTTTCCTTCCTTTCTTTCATACTTCCTTTACTCCTTCCTTCCTTCTTTCCTTCCTTCCTTAATCCTTTTCTTTCTTTCTTTTTTTTTTTTTTTTTTTGAGATGAAGTCTTGCCCTCTTGCCAGGCTGGAGTGCAGTGGTGCAATCTCGGCTCACTGCAACCTCCGCTACCTGGGTTCAAGCGATTTCCCTGCCTCAGCCTCCCTAGTAGCTGGAACTACAGGTGCCCACCACCATGCCCAGCTAATTTTTTTTTTTTTTTTTTTTTTTGTATTTTAGTAGAGACGGGGTTTCACCACATTGGTCAGGGTAGTCTTGATCTCCTGATCCGCCTCATGATCCACCAACCTCAGCCTCCCAAAGTGCTGGGATTAGAGGTGTGAGCCACCACACCCAGCCCTTTCTTTTTTTAAATAGAGAAAAGGTCCCACTCTGTTGCCCAGGCTGGAGTGTAGTGGTGCAGTCATGGCTGTCTGCAGCCTTGAACTCCTGGGCTCTGGTGATCCTCCCACTCAGCCTCCAGAGTAGCTAGGACTGTAGGCACAACACCTCACCTGGCTATTCTTATTTTTACTTTTAGTTTTATTTTTGTAGAGACAAGGGTCTCACTACGTTGCTCAGGCTAGTTTCAAGCTCCTGACCTCAAGAGATTCTCCCACCTTGGCTTCCCAGAGTGCTGGGATTACAGGTGTGAGTCACCAGGACTAGCCCCCTTCTTTGTTTTTCTGCCTTACTTAACCTCTCTTTTTTGCTTATGCCTTAGACCTTATGATGGAATCCAATAGCAATAGCATCTTTATACACTTCACAACACATTTAACCATTAAAATATTTTGTCAGCCAGGCATGGTGGTTCACGCTGGTAGTCCTAGCACTTTGGGAGGCCAAGGCAGATAGATCACCTGAGGTCAGATGTTCAAGACCAGCCTGATCAACATGGTGAAATCCTGTGTCTACTAAAAATACAAAAATTAGCTGTGCATGGTGGCAGGTGCCTGTAATCCCAGGTACTCGGGAGGCTGAGGCAGGAGAATCACTTGAACCCAGGAGGCAGAGGTTGCAGTGAGCCAAGATCACACCATTGCACTCCAGCCTGGGCAACAGAGCAAGATTCCATCTCAAAATAAAATGTATATACATAGTCGACTAACTCAAATATAATAAAACTCTAGTGGAACAAGCCCAGAACCTATAGTCTTAAGAAATGGTAATTCTATCAACATATCTGATGCCAAAGTTCTTTTTTTTTTTTTGGAGACAATGATTCCCTCTCATCACCCAGGCTGGAGTGCAATGGCATGACCTTGGCTTACTGCAACCTCTGCTTCCCAGTCTCAAGCCTCCCAATTAGCCAGGACTACAGGCGCATGCCACTGCGCCCAGATAATTTTTGTATTTTGGTCTTGAACTCCTGGGCTCAAGTGGACCCCATGCCTCGGGCTCCCGAAATGCTGGCACGGCAGGCATGAGCCACCACACCACACCCGGCCTGATGCCAAAGTTCTTTTCACTATGCCAGATGGTCTCCTAGTAAAAGAGTAAACCTTAGAGGCTTAATTTTTACCAAATCAACAATTTGAGAAGTTAAATTATGAAGAACAAAGCTGACAGTAAACTATTAGGTTTTGTTTTGGTTTTTTTTGAGATGGAATCTCGCTCTGTAACCCAGGCTGGAGTGCAGTGGCACGATCTCGGCTCACTGCAACCTCCGGCCCCTGGGTCCCAGTTCAAGCAATTCTCCTACCTCAGCCTCCCAAGTAGCTGGAATTACAGGCACGAGCCACCATGCCCAGCTAATTTTTGTATTTTTTAGTAGAGACGGGGTTTCACCATGTTGCCCAGTCTGGTCTTAAACTCCTGACCTTGTGATCCACCTGCCTCAGCCTCCCAAAGTGCTGGGATTACAGGCGTGAGCCACCACACCCGGCCCTAATATATTATATTTGACTTCAAATATTTATTTAGAAATAAGGAGAAAAATAATTTGAAGAAAAATTGGCTAGCACTAAAAAACAACTGAAGAAAAAAGACAATGAAAAAAGGATGTCAGTTGAATACCACTTGTCTATACACTAAATCAGACAGCTAAGGTGGAGTACCTCACGTAATTTGGATCCCCCAGGCATGAAACATTTTGCATCCATGTGGAAGAACTAACTTTAGCATTGGGTTTTTCACTAGGAAAACACTGTGAGGTGCAAGAGTAGCTCAGATGACCAGTCAGTTTCTGTGGAATGAAATGGAAATACAACAAACAGTATGACGTTATGATGTGGTGGGTACAGAAGCCTAATGCAGACATAGGAATGGACAGCTTTGAGGGGCCTCACAGGGAGCGGTGCAGACAGCGGGGGGGTGGAGTAGTTTGGAAGATAGAAAAGGAGGTGGCATTGGTGGGGCTTTGATTTTATGTGTGTGTGTGTGTGTGTGTGTGCGCGTGTGTGTGTGTGCGCACGCGCGCACGTGCGCATTGAGTGCAGTGGTTCACACCTATAATCCCAACTCTTTGGGAGGCCAAGACAGGAGGATCTCTTGAAGCCAGAAGTTTGAAACCAGCCTGGACAACATAGTGAGACCCCATTCCTACAAAATATAAAATTAGCTGGGTGTGTTAGCACATGTTGGTAGTAACAGCTACTTGAGTGGCTGAGGAGGGAGGATCGCTGGAGCCCAGGAATGACAGGTCACAGTAAGCTATGATATGTCACTATACTTTAGCCTGGGTGATACAGTGAGACCCTATCTCTTAAAAAAAATTTCTTAGGCCGGGCGCGGTGGCTCAAGCCTGTAATCCCAGCACTGTGGGAGGCCGAGGCGGGTGGATCACGAGGTCAAGAGATCGAGACCATCCTGGTCAACATGGTGAAACCCCGTCTCTACTAAAAATACAAAAAATTAGCTGGGCATGGTGGCGCGTGCCTGTAATCCCAGCTACTCGGGAGGCTGAGGCAGGAGAATTGCCTGAACCCGGGGGGTGGAGGTTGCGGTGAGCCGAGATCACGCCATTGCACTCCAGCCTGGGTAACAAGAGCGAAACTCCGTCTCAAAAAAAAAAAAAAAAAAAATTTCTTTTAATTTTTTGAGAAGGAGTTTCACTCTTGTTGCCCAGGCTGGAGTGCAATGGTGCAATCTCAGCTCACAGTAACCTCCGCTCCCGGGTTCAAGTGATTCTCCTGCCTCAGCCTCCTGAGTAGCTGGGGCTACAGGTGCGTGCCACCATGCCCAGTAGTTTTTGTATTTTTAGTAGAGACGGGTTTCTCTGTATTGCTCAGGCTGGTCTTGAACTCCCAACCTCAGGTGATCCACCCGCCTCAGCCTCCCAAAGTGCTGGGATTACAGGTGTGAGCCACCGTGCCCAGCACACCTGGCTAATTTTTGTATTTTTAGTAAAGACGGGGTTTCATGATCTTGGCGAGGCTGGTCTCGAATTCCTGACCTCATGATCCAACTGCCTTAGCTTCTCAAAGTGCTGGGATTACAGGCATAAGCCACTGTGCCCAGCTGAAATTAGGTTTTTATTTCAGGTTTGATAAATGATTAAACAAGTGTTGGTTTAATAGGTGTTGGTCCTTGATTCAAGTGTATTATTTTCCAGACTCAAGCTGCATTTTGAGAAGGGTGGTACAGGAATTGAAGAGTAAAGATCTTGATTTGTGGCTCGATTACTCAACAGAAATATCATAGTGCCAGATGATCTCAGAGTCCGTGGCATGACAGAAAAAGGAAGTCTATGAGACCTCACTATAAGAAGCTCATGACAATAAAATTGAGTGTGAGAACTCTCCTCAAGCTAGTATTTTTAAATAATAATCACTTTGCACATATTGATTGAAACTTTAGGCTGGGCATGATGGCTCACACCTGTAATCCCAGCGCTTTGGGAGGCCGAGGTGGGTGGATCACGAGGTCAGGAGTTTGAGACCAGCCTGGCCAATATGGCAAAACCCCGTCTATACTTAAAAAAAAAGTACATAGCTGGGCGCGGTGGCTCAAGCCTGTAATCCCAGCACTTTGGGAGGCCGAGGCGGGTGGATCACAAGGTCAAGAGATCGAGACTATCCTGGTCAACACGGTGAAACCCCGTCTGTACTAAAAATACAAAAAATTAGCTGG